CGAAAAAAAAAAGACACAAAGTCCAAAATGGGTCCAGGGAACATACCCGTGTCATCAGGAGTACATTCGCATGTCTCGGGGAAGGCTTCGTTGTGGTCGTCCATGAGAGGAATGTCTAACGAGTTTCGGCCGAATTCTCTTGAATCTCTCTGCAGCCTTTTCAACGGAATTTTACGCATCAGGCAAAAGTCCCTTCATCGGCCCTTTTATAGCCGTGCTGCAGTTCTGGGCTTTGAACACGATGGATCGTGTTTAGCGAAGATGTCCAGCAGCTTTTCACATGCGAATATCGTTCGGAAGGTCAGGCCACCTCCTACAGTGATCTGATATCTCGAGTTGACACCCAACTACCGGCAGATAGCCTCGTGCGATCTTGTGGTTCACCGCCAAGAAGGGATACATCATATCGTAGTGATGAAATTTGGGACCTGAGAGCGGTTTCCGGTTACTCCGGAAGTCTCAAATCAGGCTGAAAAGGGAAGTTTGTTTACTTTGGGGGAAAGGAGGCGTGAAGCTCTCACCATGACTGGCGTGTAGTCGTGTCTTGTATTTAGGAAGCCGTTAAGGGCATAGGTCCGAGCGCTGCGTTTCATAAAAGGCTAGAGTGCGTTAACAATTAGCGCTCTCCAGTACAGCGCATACCGTAAGTTTCAGTGCCACGCCGCAAGCACTGAATGTTTCGCAATGTCACTTGCTGCAACCTTGAGGAAGTGGTGACACTGGCAGTGACAACTTCGTTCTCATCTCAAAGAGGCACATACCCCGTTCACACAATTGAAACTAGAAGCCTGAAACGCCACAACACGGCACATACAACGGTCTTGGGAAGAGCAAAGACCTTTAACCATAACCAGCTAAAGATTTCTCATTTATCGGTTTCGTTCGTTCATTCAGCCTTACCGAAACACTGGAAACTCGCCAATCTCAACAACCAAGAACCCCTGACTTCCACGTGGAACTTTTACCAACAACTCTCAAAGTGACACGACACGAACCATCACACACACACGGGCGACACACTGAGGACGCAGTACCACCTTTCGCGCGCGCAAGGTACACACACCTTTGATGGTCTGAGTGAGATACACGTTGTGTTGTACCACCAGTCCCACGGCCTTCCCGTCGCCATCCCAATCAATCACCGTCTACAATTCTTCTCGAGTCTCCCGTAGGTCTTTGACCCCGACCTATCGCGGCTCCGGATCCAGATACACTAGATATCTCAACAAACATCAAAACAAAAAGACCAATGACATGACAACCACCGCGCCTTCCCCCAAGAGTTCGGCACTCGCGCACCCCCACAAAACCATTCTCGAATCCTTCATCCTCTGGAAACTCTTCCTCTTGCTGATCGCCGTTGGCTCGACCCTCGTTAATGATCGCGCCTACGACACTTCAGCCGATTTATTGCTGGTAGGCAATGCCGAACCTCTTTCTGTCAACGATGGTAATGATGGGGTTGCAGAGCTGTTGAGCAACTTTGGCAAGCGGCTGGTCACGAGGTTCACGAGTTGGGATGCTATCTATTTTGTGAGTGCGGCGAAGAGGGGGTATGTTTATGAGCAGGAGTGGGCTTTTGGGACAGGGTTGGTGGTGTGCGTGAGGGGGGTTTTGAAGGGTGAGTTTCTTGATCTTTCTTTGTTTGACGTGTTGGGGTGTTGGGATGGGTTGAGATGGATGGGTGGAAATGGATGGTTGAGTGAGGAGGTGAGAAGGTGAGAGGAGGACAAGTGGTGAGAAGCTGGTTTGGGAATATGCTCTCCTTTGCTGAAGGGGATTGATGTCCCTACTAGTCACGCCTCGGACTCACATCACCAATCCACACTCGCCTCGTCCATCTTCACGCACCTCACACATCTACCTACCTCAAACTTCACAAAAGCCAGTAACTAACAAACCTCACAGCTCTCCAAACCCTCGGCCTGCCCCTGCCCCTCGCCACCTCACCCACCGCCCTCGCAGAAGCAACCACGGCCCTCCTCCTCTCCAATGCTTCCCACCTCCTCGCCTCTTTTGTCCTTTACCACCTAACCCTCCTCTTACCACTCTCCGGTTTCAACTCTTCTCCCCTAAAGCGGCGTAAACTAGCTCTCCTCACCTCCCTCCTGCACATCTTCTCCCCCGCCGGCCTGTTTCTCTCCGCCCCCTACGCCGAAAGCTCGTGTGCTTTGTATTCGTTCTTGGGGTGGTGGTTTTACGCTCAATCTTGTTTATCTGATCAAGATGGCACCACCGCTGTCTCTGGCCACATTGAAAAGGGTGACAGGGGGTCAGTAACGCTGAAAGGCGACCTTCACCTCCTCCTAGCCGGCCTCTCCTTCGGTCTAGCCACACTATTCAGAAGTAACGGTATCTTGAACGGACTACCCTTTGCTTGGGAAGTCCTCGGTATCCTATCGGGCTTCGTTATTAGTACGTCTGGAGGAAGAGGAAGAGGAAGAGTCCCGCTGCTCAAGACGCTGAGACGACTGATCGCTCTAGGCTTGGGTGGGATCTTTGTAGCGGCGGGAAGTATCGTGCCGCAAACTGTGGCGTGGTTGAGGTATTGCCCTTCTGGGAGTTTGTGGTTGCTTAATAAGTTTTTGTCGTCCGGGTTAGAGGTAGAGATATCCGAGATATCCGGCGGTAGTGGTAGCGCCCACGGCTACGGCAGCAGTGGCGTTGGTGCTGGTGTGAATGCTGGTGCTGGTGGTGGGTTAGAGGAACTTGTGGCGCGAGAAGAAGCAAGGGAGTGGTGCGCTGCGGTGGTGCCTAGCATTTACACGTTTGTGCAGAAACATTATTGGTAAGTCCTTTTTCCCGATCGGTGGCCTTCTCTTATCTTCTTCTTTGTTTGGATGGGGACAGGAGATATCATCCGTCTTCATCTGGGTGGTCAAATGAAGCAGAATGAGGCTTCTTTCTCTCCCTTCAAAACCAGCGGCGATTGGACATGCTAAAACGCCTCATCTTACTTACTCTATCGATATCACCGACTTTATCACCCATCTACTCAATTCGCCGAAAGAATGGTGTAATCATTACTAACAAACTCCCAATAAACAGGAACGTCGGTTTCCTCCGCTACTGGACCCTTCCCAACATCCCGCTCTTCCTACTCGCTGCTCCGATGCTCGCGATCCTAGTCAAGTCGGCACTTGACCAGCTCAGTCAGCAATCATCCACAGCAAAAGTACCCCTAGCCATTAACTCCGACGCCAAGTCTACGTCTTCTCCCTCCTCAGACACCCCTTCATCCGGCTCCATCAAGTCCGATGAAGCCGTCATCCCCCCACACCCCGACGGCGAGTCACCAACGACAGCCCAGCAGCAACGCATGCAGATCCTCATGCGCTCGGCAGCCGCGGAACAGGTGTTGCTTGCGGTTCTGGCGGTAAGCACGTACCACGTGCAGATCATCACGCGGATATCGTCAGGGTATCCGCTGTGGTACTGGTGGTTGGCTCAGCAGCTTATCGGTGATGGGGACATGCAGCAGCAGCAGCAGCAGCAGAAGAAGAAGAAGCTGGGTAAGGGGATTGTGGTGTTTATGGTCATGTATGCGGCGATTCAGGGGGTGTTGTTTACTTCTTTTTTGCCGCCGGCGTAGACTAGGATTCATCGTTTTGAGGAACAGAAATGGGGTACCTGTGTTGAGGTAAGGGATATGTCGTTTGTTGCTACCCTTGGATGTTGGAGTTAGGAAGAAACGAAATATACCTATATACACAGCCAATCCATCATGTCTTTGCTGTCGAGCTTCTTTGCGATTGAGAGAGATTCTTGACTGTCTTATGGTTGTTTATTGTCGCAGGCAGCTTCTTCATCTGCGTGCGTATCTGTAAAACTTAACAGATGAGTAAAACCGATTTGAAGTCTAAATTCCAAGGCTGAAAAAACAATGCTTATGTCGCTCCGATGTGGTGCTATGCTATATCCCATGCAGATCCAAAACTGTCCGTGAATGCACAACGCCTAGTCGAATACTCGTCGTTGGTTACTCAGTCCGAATCAGAATCGTAAGCCACGAGTCCGGGTTTGCTCGTTTGTGTAGTTGAGCCACCCTCTGTCGTCTGCTTTCGGCTCTTGGTTTCCGCAGCATCCCTTCCTTCAGCAAGAGGACCAGTCATCGATGACGCTGCACCCACAGGTGGTGGATCGGGAGTCTCTTCTCCAGCAGCCCGTTTCCTCTTGAGCCCAGGTATCAAAGCTCCTCGCGGCTTGGGTGTCGACTCCCTACTCCCCCAGTCGAGAAACGGGTCCTTGGCCGCCCGCGTATGACCCACAATCTCGGAAACCAACGCTTCCCGCATCTTGGTAGCAGCAATCTCCGACTTGAGCTTTCCCTTGGACGCATCCTTCTTCTTCCCGCCCTTTTTCTCCTCCGTTTTGCTGTTCTTCCCATCCCCAAACAACGGTCTCGCCAACGCCTTTTGCACCACGTCATCCCTGCCCAAACCAATATCCGGTACACCCCCAAACTCAATCAACCTCGCCCTCCGTTCATCCTCCTCCGTGCCCGGCAACAGCTCGATCCCCAACCCCATCCTCTCCTTGAGATCTTCCGTCCTCTCCGCCTCCGTCTCCCTTTCTTTCCTCCCCACCCTAAACGCCTTCCTCAGCTTCTGATTCCTCGCATATGGATCTTCCCAAGCCTTTTCCTGCGCCTCTAGCAACTCATCGATCCTCACTTTCGCTTCCTCCGCCCTCTCACGGTCCGCAATCGTCTTCTCCAGCTTCCCAAACGCCGCATCCCTCTGTTCCTGCCGTTCCTTTTCCGTCTGTATCTCAAACCCACCAGCACTCCCTTCCAGACCAAGTTTGACCAAACTCTCCTCATCCGTACCCGTATCCCTTGCCCGCCCCCCACTCACAACCACATACCTCGTCATTTTTGGGTCTGTCCTAATCTCAATCTTGCCGCCACATTGCGCGTGCTTGATGGTGAAACTCCAGATGGGAGTGGAGTAGTAATTGCCGACTTTCTTCTTGGCCGCGTTGAACCGCACGCCCTGGCCGATGATGGTGGGGTGAGGCTGGCAGTGGTCGCACCAAACGGCAAAGGGGAGCTCGAAGCGCACGGTGAGAATGCCCTGGGTGGCGAGCTTGGAGGCGCGGTGGCCGAGGGGGTGCTTTTTGCTGAGCTGGTTGCCTGAGTAGACGCCCTCCGCGTCTGGAGGGACGTATTTGCCCATGTTGAAGCCTTGCATTTTGAAGGTTTGGGGGGGGGGCCGGAGCCGGTGGTGGGCTTTGGGTTGGTTTGGGTAGGGCTGGTTGAAGGTGTTGGAGGGAGGTGGGAGTGGATGGACTTGTAGATGGACGGGTAGGTGAACGAGTCCAGGCGCAGGCAGTTATGGATGGCGATGCTTTGGATTACTCGACGATGAAATACCGGATTTGATGGTGTGCTTCTCACTTAGAAGTGAAGGTAGGGTAGCACGCGCGTAATTGTTGGGATAGTCCGCGATAGACAAAGAAACTTGGAAGTGAAGTTGAAAATGGGAAAATGACGAGATCTTGAAGTGCTGTTGTTGCCCTGAAGTTGTCCGCTGAATCTGACCCGCCGCAGCGGCTCAGTGGGGGCTGTGCGGCTGAGGTCGGGTGTCAGGGCTGCAAGGCCCGGCCTGCTCGGGCGGCAGGGACCACCCGCTTTTAAGGCGCTAGGGAGCAGGGACCCACTCTCTAGTGGAAATTGTTAAGGATCACCCGCCGCTACCTACCTATGTTTTGAAACATTGGACAAGTGGAATTCTTTTCCGGAACATGGTCGGTTTCCTTGCTTGCATCACAGATGACACTCGGAGGACCGAATCGGGAAATGCCATGAACAACAAGATCCTCCTACAGTAATCACTTCCAGACTTTTCCTGCCCCTCACATACTTTCTCTCATAAACTGGCACACCTGCGCTATTCTCTCTCCGCCCGTTACTCGTACAATAAACCCTCCAAAATCCGGGGGAAACACCCACCCACCCTGCCCACTACCGAGAACGAGGAGGGGAAAGAGAGATTCGAAGTTGTATCCCCGCACTGGTGAAGTCACTAGCTGGAGATTCGAAGGTGAAATGAGGCGAGTTTCAAGCTGCCGAGCGTCGATCATGAGGAGTGTTCTCGGGGTCTACTTCAGTATGTGAGATTGGAGTTGGGGATGGCTTCATCGGATCGAATGGTGGACAACACTCATCAGCATGATGCGGAATATGTTCAAATGAAGTGGCCAACAGTTCATCGGCAAGTACGGGCTTTCATTGTCACATGAAAAAAGTAACGGATTGTTTTCGATCAGATGTACCTTGGTGGCCACCGCACCCAGCAAATCTTTCGGATGAAATCCTGCGACACTCGCATAGAGGAAGCCTTTCGCACCGAATAGAGGACAATGGCAACCGTCCGACAAGCTTGGCTGGTAATAATCATCTCACGAACACACAAGCTCAAGCCCTTGCTACTTCAACAAACGTCACGAGTCCCTTCACGAAACTTCCAGCTATTCAACGGAGCCCAACCCCCTTTGTTGTCATCCCAAGTTCTCAACCGCTTAACGTAACCTTTGTCAATAGAGTTTGATCTATAACTTATCATGCAACACTCCACTTTGGCCACTCTACCTATTACCTATTCTACCTATTGCAGCTGTTCACCTATTCACTCCTCCATCACAACCGCTCTACCGCCTTCCCCGGCAAGCCATTGCACAACAATGGGATGTTCGACTACGACACGATCTGACAGGTAGTCCAACAGCTCGAGCACAAATATCAATGTGCGCAGGCTCCCTTCTTACTTTTCCAGTCTACTCCAGTCCCCGTCAAGTCTAGTCTAGAGGTTGGCCCAACTTTCTAGTAAACTGTCACCAACCATCGACAGTTCATCGGCAATCCGCTAATCATCAATTACCAGACAGAGACACTTGTAGAAAACCTCCTCAACCAAATTCGCGACATCGCCATCGATAGAAGAAAGTCCCGAACAAGAAGTCCTCAAAATGCCATCCAAGCCAACCGGAACACCCTCGTCCAAAAAGCCGAAACCCCTCTTCATCCTCCCCAAATCTCACTTCGACAAAGCCAAGTCCTCAGAAGACCCCTTCGCCAAGCGCCCGCCGACTCCGTATTACCCTCCTGCCCGCCAGTCTGAAGGGGAGAGTTCTGGAGTCGGTGATGAGAAGGAAAAAGACCAGAAGGAGGATATCAAGGATGCCAAGAAGCAGAACTAGGCAGAAGCAGAGTAGGCTGCGCTACGTATGTAAAATCTAGCACCTGGAGGTTTCGTGTTTCTTTGCTTTCCTGCCAGTACCTTCATCAAGACACACTTTACTTCTTCCTCCAACTCACCTACCTACTTTGGTCGTGATAAGGTGGTGTATACATGTTCAAGGATCTGCCGGCAACTTTTCAGGATTGTAGAGTCCCCGGTAGTTGCTTGCTTCCCCAGTATCCCCAATATCCAGTGCTCAGTGCCCAGTACCGAGTGGTATTCAAGGCTATATCCAAGATGAACTATCAAAGTAAGACCAACCACATGACTGGCTACCATCAATTCAATGCCACATGCAAAGTCACAACCCAAGAAGTCATCCATCCGCACCTTCACTTCAATTCAATGAACGTAACCAAAACGAATGACCTTCAGGACTACCATAAGCACTCAACGAAGCGGCTCAGTGAGCTATGCCCTTAGCTGTCTTCTACCTTGCCCTACTACTTCTTTCTACCTTAGGTATACTTGCAGAAAATTACCTTATTCTCCATACACAGACCATGCTAACAAGTCAACTTTCCAGGCTATTCAGCAAGGGACTGTAGAGAGATCTACTTAGGTTCGGGTGACGTCGCGGATTGCAATGATTGTACGAAAGGAAGGTTAGTCATTGACATACGCTTGACAAAACTTCTTGATGTGCCCTGTGGTTTCTTTACCTATTGACGTGTGAATGGTTGACTGACTTGTGTGTATTACTAGGTACTTAGTAACGGGATGCGGTGCCAGGACAATCAATGGTAGGTAAGCTTGGTAGAGGTAAATCGGATCAACCAAGGTAGAGGTATCCTCCTCCTTCTCACCAGAGGTAGCTAGGTGTCTAGTAGATACCTACGGTCTTTCTGGAAGGAGTAATCAAAGGGATGGAACCCCATTGACATTTTTCGTGGGCGCCAAACGTTGTACTTCTCACTGCCTGCAAGATGTGAACTTCCATTCTATCTCTGCTATGACCGACTGTGCGTACAAGTTTCCGTACATCGTACATGGGAAGCTCAAGTGTTTTGTACGTGGGTTGATCCCTCGACATGAGAATCTTTCCTTTCAAGTAAGAACATACCTATGAAAGGAAACGAAGTCTGACTATGTTGTTGACCTATATGTACCATGAGAGACTACCTACCTCTCACCGCCCAACCATCTTGAAGCTCCCAATGACAGCATTCTGAGGATTCCATAGGGTAGTCTAGGTAATTCATCACCATTTTACACCGAAAGATATCTACCCTATCAAGATTCCTAGCAGAAACAAGTTGGACATGTGGAACTGTAGAGGAAGAAGAAGAAGAGCAGACTAAGAGAAGACGCCTTTCTTTCCTCGCAGCGTAAGGCAAGTACATATTCAACATCTCACTTCCCTTTCCTACCAATTCCTGGCATTTCCTTTTCCCTTAGAGGTGGGTACCTCTATGTAGCGATAAATCATCCCGATTCTTTCATATAAGTATGCCTTTCTCGCTCCTTTTACACCTATCCTTTGTAAAGCCATGAACTCGTCCATCATGTCAACTTTACCACAGGGCTTTTTTTTGGAAATACGACTCGAATATGTTCGATGTTAGGTATTTTCTTTATCGCAGGCTACCACACCTCATCTGGCATCTGGTATCTTGTATCTAACATTCAAAATCTGACATACCCTACGGGATGAAGCGAACAGTAATACAAAGAAATGGCGAGAGAGAGTCACGGAAGTGGTTAATTAACCCCGCGGATACTGACTACGGCGGTACTGAGAAGTTCAACTCGTTTCTAAATCTCGGGAATATGTAGATTCACCATCTTTCATCGCCAGCTGGCTGGCTGGCTGGCACAGAGAAGGGTGCCCCCGATTCTATCGAGTAGAGCATGAGTTCAGCGATAGTGACACCTGATATCTTGATTTCGGGGAGCATTGTACGTCCCTCGAAGAAAGAATGGGAGTGTGAGCCGAGCGGCCCGGAAACCTGAATTACCAACCCCTATGTGCAGGCGGAGGAAGGCATAATCGTCATGCCGCTGCTGTGGCAAGTTGAACTCTCTACATGTCATACAAACATCAAGGGGTTCCGTTTCATAGGAAAACTCCCTGACTGTCCTTCCAGTGAACACTCTTGAAGACACTCCAGATTCTGAGTGCCCAAAAAAAAAAAAAAAAAAAAAAGGAACAAGGCCTTTCGGGCGGATCTTCGGCCTACCAGTTGGATGTCATGCTTTTGCTGTTGTATGTTGTCTATTTTGTTTGTCTCCCATCCATGAGAACGGTCGAGATGAATGAACCAGGTTAAACAAAAAAACAAGGGACAAAGGCCAGTACCTATAGGTACTCTCCAGAAACAGGGAGACAAGTTAGCCCCTCTTCAATCGACGGGCTGGCAGTTACTCTACCCCTTCAATCTCGTAATTGGTCACCCGTTGGCCAGTTGCAACCCGATGTAACGACGGCTCGCGGATGCTAAAATGCCTAACTGGCGGCGGGCATCGGAAGGCTGGACCCCTGGTCTGAATGGAATGGTGAGATCACGCCGGCTTGAGCGGGTCTTTGAGCTTATTACTTTGTCTCCCGAGTCCCGAACCTGTCATCCCGCCTTCAGCCGTCGACGAACTTCGCTCTCCGCAATCGGTTTCCGCAGTCCCAGAGAGCGAGTGATCAAGGTAGAGTCATTGGCGATTTGCTGCTATTCTTGGAAAGCTACCATCTACCTCTCTGTCGGTAACGGCAAGTAATTTGGATCGTCTTGTGAATATGAAAATGTGTATGAAGCATATATTACCCGTCAGCTGTTCTGAAGACCAAGAACGAGCATGGGAAAGACTCTCTCCCCTGTCACCAAGCGAGGGGCACGGGTTTCCCCGCGGGATGAGCAGCACACGAGACATACGTAAGTGTGTTTTTCATGAGGTGCGAAGGAAGCGTACATACGTACCCACTGGGGCTCTGGAAAAGAAGGCTGCGAAGGACAGTCCCGGTCGTTTGTGATATCACGGTGGTAGACGTGTGTAAGACGGTTGGAGGGTCGGGGATCTGTCAAGACGATACCGGCATGGCTATTAAGCAGCCAACAGGATTAGAGGTCAGCAGCACCACCTTTTCCATCCCGTATGTATCCGACAATGTCACTCCGCGGACAAAGTATAAACCACCTTAAGGACTGACTACGAGAGCTGACCCCCGATATGAACCGACGAAACGGCCCAACCTCCGTTCCGAAGCGGTCTTGACCGGACCTACCGAGGTCTCTGGCACCGCGCAATATCTGGTCAGTGTCAAGACAGAAACGGCGGTGCCTTGTCCGTAGTGTCTTTGAGGGTCGTCGGCAGTGAAGGGTCAAGGGGATGGCCGCATGACAGGACGCGCCGCTGAATGTATGCGTGCCGTTGTGACATGGCGGGTAACTGCACACTGCACACTGTAAAGAAAGGCAGGTTTGCCACTGGGATGTGAATGTGCAGCTTCAAGCAGCTGGGACACTTGCTTTGAGAGTCCCGTTTTGGACATATCTTGATTGCGGCAGTCCAGAAAGGGTCATGACATGCCTGAGAATCTGCTGTACGTTCGTACAATTGCCAGCCCGGTTGACACCTCTAGGGTTGCCTTGTAGACGATCTCGGCTATGCAAGCTTGCGCTTTTCGACCAACGGTTAGTGGTAGGGCATCGATAGTATGGTGGAATTGTTGGACCTTGCCAGTCTGCCACTTCTTGCAATCCTACTGCAACCTCCTGTGAAGCTGCGTAGATAGTCAGGTGCTGTGCATTCGCACTGGGAAACCCTTCCCCCCTCTGTACATGCCATAAGCAACAGTCAGCACTTGCTCTTGTCCGAATGTTTTATCCGATTCGATGAAAAGTCAAGGACGTTGCACACCGGTACTCATTTGTATAGAGTGCCTGCAGCCACATCCCTCCTTGCTTCCATTCCTATCATGGCTGCAAAATAGCACCCGGGCCAAGTGGACAGGACCCTTTCTTGGTGAATTCACGAATGGTCGTCGTGACTACCGCTTCTGGTTGTCTTGATTATGGTTAACGAGAGATGGTAGGTTGATGTGCGAGTTGACAAATGATGACACCCATTGGGGTCGAGCTTGGCCATGCCGTCCATAAATTATCATGGGAAAAGAGAAAGAATTGGTGACTTGAATTTCCTGTTAATTCGTCTTGGAATTTTCTAATTCGGTGGGAGACGTTCTCTGTTGTTCGTCTTTCCCTTAGAAGGCACGGGGTACGTTCCCACACTCAAACACCTGTGCAGTCTTGGCAAGCGGTGCGTGCGTGCACACACACACACACTGTATTTGACAAGTCTGGCCATTTGACATCGCTTTACATAACTCAACTCGATCGTTTAACATTGAAATCTACTTAAAACTAGCATAAAAAGTCAATATTTTAATATTCTAGATTATATAATTATCTATTTTAATATTTACATTATCTTTTAAATTATTATTAATATAGTACGCTACCCCAATACCTGTTAGAAGGTATTGATAATAATAATATTAGTAAATAATAAGTATCCTAACGATGTTATTGAGACTATTAGTATAAGTATACGGAGTATATAGAAATATATATATACTCTAACAGATATTGGTAATGTATTTATACTATTGCGAACCCCCTAGAATATTAGAAAGCTTCCTATATAAGCGCTTAAGGTATAATATATACTATATTACTCCCTATACTTTATTAATCATAATTAATATTATAAAGGAAGTTATAAACCTCCTTATATTGAAACTTGATTTATACTTTAATGAAATCTATACCTTTCTAGCTAACGAATATAATGTATATGTTTCGATTGAGACTGTACGGCGGTACCTTCGATAAGAGAAGTGGAAAAAGAAGCAATTCTATATAAAGGTATTATAATAATCCCTTATACTAATAACCGAGTGGATATTTAAGATCTCTTTGTTTATTATAAAAATATTCGTATTTTATAACAAGTTTAGTATAGATTGAAGGGACAGTATTTATTGTATTGGTTAAGTATTCTATAATGCTATTATAATAGTATTAAGTAAATTTATCTATAGTACGTAGTATTACCTCTTCTTAGCTATTATAATAAATAGATTATTTAATATATTAGTATTTGGAAGTATAATGAATTTAGCCAGGGTTTGGGATTAGATAGTAAAATACTTACTCCTTAAAATAAATCTATTTCCTAGCTATAATAGTATTTTAGTAATAAATAATACTAATTAGTACCCTTGTACTAAATTCTAGTACGTATATAATTAGAAGAGGGTTTTATTATAATATTTGCTATTATATTCTCCCGAGTTTAATCTTATTAAAGTATACTTTAGTAATTTTAAGCGGTAGTTTAAGAGGGTGTACTATAATAAGAATAATGATAAAATATTAGACGACGATTTTATTATGTTTTTTAAGTGATTAGCGTAGGGCGTAGGGTATAGAGTATAGTAAATCCGTAGCTATTTTAAAAATATAAAGCTAGTAATAAATCGAATTAATAATATAAATAAAGATTATAGGAAATTGTATATTAACAAATTAGTCGAATATAGAGAGATAGGTATTATATTAGGGCGACGGTAGAGAGTAGAGAAGGAAGAGATAAATTTATATATATTAAATTGAATTATATACTAGAGGTACTAAAAGTACTAGAAGTGCTAGAAGTGCTAAAAATTGTAATAATTTATATAATAATATTAAAATATTAGAAACCCCCCTCTTTTATTATAAATCGATTCGTATGATTGTTATTGCTCGCTAGGACTGTTAATAGTAGTATTACCTACTATAGAAGTAAAAATTCTAGTAATATTATATTCGAGTGTAGTACTTAATTAGGGGTTTAAAATATATATTAATTAATTAAGTTATAGTAGTAGGGGTTAGAGGGTATATATACTATAGCTTAATTATATTATTAGTACTACGTACTCGGTTTTAGGAAAGTTTTTAATACCGTTTTTAAATGCTATATAGAGGTTGCAGGTAAATCCTAGCTTTATAAACTATTTTACTAACTATTCTTTGAATACGAATATATTGGGAGGCACTTTTTTATTTTAGAGTTTATTCTTTAAAGCGATTAGAATTCTATATATTAGCCCTGCTTCAGTCGATTTCCAGATATAGTAACGTCAATAGAAGGATTTAAAGAATTCAGTAATAAATTCTTTAGCTGGTTAATTAAATAGGGCGGGGGGTGGCAGTAATAAATAGAAACCGAAAATTAAAGGTACGAGCGGATATAGTATAAATAATTTTTTAGCCTTTATTAGAAATTCTTTAATCTCTTTACCTTCATCCCTTTCGTCTACTATCAACGGCGGTACAATTAATAATAGTACCAGTAACTAAATACAAATTATAATTACTATAGAAATAGGAGGAGGGTTAGTGTGCTTAGTAGTAAGAATCTTATAGTTAGTCGAGTACTTATAAAATATAGTAATAAAATATTCTAAGGGCGTATACAAATCAATAATTATTATTTTACTTAATAGAGGGGAAGTGCCTGCTATATTATTATAATTAGAGCTGCCTGCAATTACTGAATTAATTATAGAGCTATTAGCAATATAAGGAGGAGGTAGTTAGACTTAGGGAAATTAAAAGTAAGGAGGGAAGTATTAGTAGGGTAGTGGGTATAGCGGGTATAGAGGATAAAGGTATAGTTAGTATAGGCTTTTAAAGTTATTCTTCCTTAGTATAGCTTATAGTAGACTATTTATAATCTCTATATTAGTATTACTATTACTACTATTAATATTATTAATAATATTAACGTTAATTAGTAAACTATTGCCTCCTCCTTTATATATATTATTATTATTAGTACTAGTAGAGGCGGCTACTGCTTTATTCTCTAGTATTTTTTATATTAAATTACCAAGTAGGTTAATTACTATAATTTTCCCTAACGAAATTGCACGTACTTATTTACTAATATCTTTAATGTTAAGGTTATAATTAGTTATACTCCCGTCGATAATATAATATATTTAATATTTAATAGCCTTATTATAATTCTTATATTTATAATTAAGATTGTACGTCTATACTTGTACTAGCTCCTAGTATATAGTACCGTATAGCCTTAACCCTGTACGCTCCTCTTATTACTAGTCCTCTTTTAAATTCTTTTTAACTTTTACTAGTATAGTATTTATTATAATACGCTTAGACTTCTTAATACTAATTAAAATTTGTAATTTTCGAAATAATAGTATATTGGCTATTTATAGAGTTAGGGTAATAAAAGGATTAATAAAACTACGAGAGGGGGTAGGGGTAGAGGGTATATTACTATAGGAGGATAAGGTAGTAGGGATTTTACTAACGGGTGGTTCGATTAACTAAAATTTAAATAATATAGTAAAATAATAGTACTAGCTAATATAGTAAAGGTACGACTTTATAACGGTCTTATATTTGATATTATTATACTTATTAAGAAAATCCTTCTTAAAGATAGTTTTATTATAGATAGTAACCCGGGCGCGATAGTTATTATAAACGGTAGTAGTATAACTAATATTATATAAGACAATTAATTATTTTATTTCTATAGCCGTATTATTATCGATAATCTTTTATATATAACTTTACTACAGTTATTTAATTTCGCTAAGTAGGGTCGTCCTAAACTGCTAGTTATAGAATTCGCTATTATTTTATTCAACCTCTACCTCTCTAAGTATATTACATTCTTTATTAGGGGGTAATTTATTACAATTAACAATAATATACAAACCGACTATATTAAATTAAACTTATATCGACCGGAGGTATTTAGGAAGCAGTAATAGTACTAAAATAATTAATTTATAAGCGTAGGGCTAGGCCAATAGTGCCAAAGTAGTTAGTTTAATCAGGGAGGCTACTTTACTATTATTATTACTTAATAAACAAAATAAAGTATTGAAAGCCTGCTTCTTAGGGGTAAGGCGGACGGGGAGTTATTATTTGACTTTGTTATTATTATTAGAGTCTTTATTATTATTAAAAATATTGATAGGGATAGCGGGTTAAGGTTAGGGAGGGGACGAGAGCGGCTCTAGCGTTGGATTTTTAGTAGCTGTAGCCGCAGCCGGGGCCTTCCTCTTCTTTTTAATAATAGCCTTCTTAGAAGTAGTTTTCTTCTTAGGAGGAGTAGTTTTGGGAATAATTTTAATAGATTACTCAGCTTTATAGCTTTTTTTTTGGGCCGGGAAGAGGCGCATTATAGAGTTATTAGGCTAGGATTTTCCTTATCTTAATTATTATTAAAGCAAACTATTAGCGCGCTACTTCGAATATAAAACCGCTTTACGCCAGTGGATTTTGAATTAAGGATTATTTTAGAAAGTATTATCGTAATAGATTTAATTAATTATTAGTATTTTAATTACTTTGTATGCTAAAATTGCTTTAATTTAATATAAAAATTATTATTAAATAATGGATTTTGACAAAGTTGTGCAATATAGAAGTGCGGTGTGTGTGTGTGTGTGTGCGCGCACGCACCGCTTGCCAAGACTGCACAGGTGTTTGAGTGTGGGAACGCACAGACCTGGTGTTCTTGGAAAGAGCCATCGCCGAATGCCGATTACCGATCTCCAACAGTGGGCAGCAACCACTTGAAAGCCCATTTTTCAGTCCTCAGTTATCTACACAGCCTGTGAAGATTCAAAGTGACTCCTCCTTGGAAGAGCATTATCGGTGCAGATATCTTCAATTCTAATAAGCTGGGACGAACCAATAAAGTGTCTCCAGGAACTACGGGCCGGCCAAGGACGCCACAACTGACAATTGGCACAGCACGGCCATATCAGCTTTACTTATATACCAACCCACTACCACATATTGCTGCATCCTTTATGTCTTAGAGGTCGACATATATACATCGAGACCTCTGTCCAACATAGGAGACCGAAATGTGTAGCCTACGCACTCTTTGTAGCACGAGAAGTTGATTTAAAGTCGGTGTGACAGTATGCGTTAGTATAATTTATGGTGTCGCCCAGTGTGTGCTTGGAATCCCATCCCCGGGGCCAACCTGTTTCTTGAATCCCATCTGTTCGTTACCAGAGTGGGTTGTGCCATTACGCCTTGAAGCTGAATGTGGCTCTGGTCTATGTAGCACCATAAAGATGCCAAGATGGACTATGATTGCGCCGTATTATGCGACACATAGCTCATCACCATAGCTCTGGGATTCTTCCACGTAGAAGAGAGCTTGATAAGACCAATTTCAGCCTCAAACATAGCTCTGGATTGGAGGACGTGATCCCAATATCCGGTCCGGACCCGCACGACGAGATAGCTAAAAGTCCAGAAGAGGAAGGTCATAACAGATGGATGTCAATAAATTTCCACCCCGATATCGTGACTGATGAGGTTTAGAGCAGCATAAATCTTGGCGACCAGCTTTTATCTCAGACTTCCAGAATAGTTACTGGCAATGTCTGTACCGAGTCGCTCGCTGAGATCAAGAGAATGCACTGGCGATCCTGTTTTGATTAATGCTAGCTTCTCCAATGCACCACGCAAAGCCCAAGTTTGGTTCGGGTCTGAGAAACGTGCGTTATACACAAGTAACCATAAACTTCGCCTCGTGCCTGCAATAGTCACATCAATCCCAAAACTTGGCCACGGTTTACTCCGTGGAGAAGACTCAAATATTGGGAAAGCAACCGGACGTTCAAAATCTCTGCATGGCATGTAGCACATTGGTGTACAATCATGGAGCTTAGGCAGGAGGGTAAAGTTCGATTTCTATCCTCCTAGTGGCCCAGCTTGCTCATCGCGCCTGGCTAAAAGTCAAACCATGTTCTTATGCGATTCAGATAAGGATCAAACTCATGTTCAGTATTGAACCCACCGAAAAACCTTTGCTGGTAACGTGAGTGTCAGTATTGGTTTGGCTAATCCCATAAAAAGCGTCGGAGCTGCGGGAGATGCAGCAGGAAGACAAATCCAGGTGTAGTAGACATGGCGTGTTTCTGGAACTTGTTGCCGACCTTTCCTTTCCCTTCGTTCCCCTTTCGTAAGGTTGGACGTATAGGTGAGACAATATGGAGGCTAATAGCTATCGCTACCGGACGCCAACGCAGAATTCTCTAGTGATACTTCGCTGATCAATTGGCACCAACTTCGGTTCATCATGTGTTCGGTAACTCCATTCTCACTGAGACATGATAAGCAAAGTTTAGGAAGATGGGTCTAGATCTGGCGAATGCCCGATCCAGAAGAATTTGGGGATTTAAGACTTGTGGGGCCTTGTTTCTTCGAAGGTCAGGAAAGAAAAGGCCCCGACATCGGCGATTCCTCGCGAGTATGTCATGGACTTCTCACCATCGAACGTTTCCGTGTCATAGCTGGCCACGACGTCCTTCCTCGCCAATGGAACAAGGGAACAGCAAAAGACACGTCGGCAAGGAAACATAGGGTCTCTTCATCTCCAGAACAAGCGCTCTAAGATCATGACATTGATTGTATGCAGGACCCAAAGACGCCCTCGACTGGTGTTGATAATAGTTCCATGTAATTTTGGCTAGGGAGAAACGGGAACTGATTCATTGCCGGCCGGGAAGAGCGGGACACCAATTACAGACGCTTTCAGCGAACGGCCCGTTTGGTATCTGTGCTGCTTTTGCTCAACTCTCGTTCCGTGGTTTTGCAGGAGGTTTCAGAAGAAGCGGGTAATGCAAAGACTGCCCCTTGGGCTAGCAAGGAGCAGCAAACGTTGCGCCATCTTGACCACTTTGTTTTTATTTTTACTACCCCTCTTCTACATGGGACGTCCTAAGGGAGTAGTCGTGACGGAGCAAAGGGGAGCGGATCGTGATGAGAATTGTCATCGGCCGAATGCACCTCCTCGTCATCCCCACGGCCTGTGAGTCGAACTGGAGAGGGACAGAATCCACTAGAGTCTAGATCCTCTAGGGATAAAGTCATGGGTCTTCAAACCCCACAAAATGCACCGTTGAGAACCAAGGTTCTGATCCCGACGTGGGCCCTTACTCCCGTTGTATCGTTATACATTACTCAAATAGAGCTTTCCTGATGGGGAGAGGTCTGGACAACGGCCAAGCTGAACCATAACTGATCTGGAAACAAACTTAAGAGACGTGACCGATATCAGAGTGGGAGATCCATACAAGATTGGCGTGGAGATGACTCTTGTCATCTATCGTCAGACTGTCAGAGAAGAGCGATGATGGGGAGATCCACGTCTTTTTCTGCAGATCGAGTCTCCTAGCAGTGCCTTTTTGTCACTCAACAGACACGCCAATTGAGCCGAGTCGAGCTAATCGGAGACGAATACCCGCACAACTCAAGAAGAGTAGTGATAACAAGCAGGCGGATAGAGGGGCGCGAGCGGTCCGATGTGAAAGTGGTGGGGATGGTGATGGGGAAATACAAGGGGCAAACAGCGAATGGAATATTTCCTGATGGTGTTAATATGCTCAAATATAGGGCTGAGGTCCAAGAAACCCAAGCGTGATTGGCTTTCCTGCAGTCTTCAAGGTAACTGGATTGGGCAAAAGGGCAAGCCCGGGTCTGTCTGCATTCAGAACTGCCCTTGCTGCCCTCTGACCATAGAGCTTCAGACGATGGCACCGTTGGCACCTTGGCAGTAGTGATGCTGGTTGCCGTGCGGACCAGTGCAAGAAACACCGTAGAGAGCGTGTCGAATGAGCACGATGGAAAAGACATGCCGTCTATATCGCGGCCGCTAGCCGGTTTCAGATGACCAGCAGAGTCGTCGGCCACACGAATCAGTTTGCCCACGCTTTTGGGAAAGGGAATCGATGAGGCATTGGAAGTCGGAGCAAAAAGACCCACGAGAGCACCATTGGCCGGTGAAAGCATGGCGACAGGGAAGTAAGCATCACCGTCTGCTAATTTTTAAGCATGCAATGTGCAGTCGTGGGGGAGAATATGGAGAAGATCGTCATGACGTTGGGTTTGGGTCACCTGAAGGCCAATACCATTGAGTTCGCGTGGTGCTGACACTTGTTCTGACTCTTTGACTGCAGAAAGGTCACGTCCCAGGTGGGAGAGTGGATGGGTGCCCTCCTTTCCCCGGGGACTTGTCTGGACTGTGAAAGGCGGGAGGTAACTGTCTAGACCGGTACAACCTGAGAAGCACCAATTCCGGTACCGCGCGGGAAGACGCGAAGGAAGGGTAGCTCCGGGGGTGCTAGAGGTAGGTCCAGTGTCAGTACAGTACATAGTCCATTTCAACACGAATGAGGTAAGGAGCATAGGTACTCCATGGAGCTCGCAGTAAGCCTGAGGTGGGAATGACATGTTCTTCCTCTGCTTGTTGTTGACGCAGTGACTGATATCGTCAGACTCTCAGTCAGCGACTCGCCGGGATGTCAAGCGACTGGCTTGGGGAATACTTCCGAACCTCCACCGAGATGCAGTTGCTGATCACTGCAGTAATCACCAAGTTCTAATCCTCACAAGGGCCCATGGAGAGGGTAAGGGTTCGGTTTGGCCGGCAGATAGGTGATGAGCGAAACACTTTTTTGGATCATCAATGTTGTTGGTGCTCGCATGTCCAGATTTCTTTCTTCTTTCTTTTTTCCTTTGGTCGTCCGGAACTCGGAAAGGGTGAGTGACCTGGGACTGGGGACAAGGTCAGGCGTTGGGTTGGAGACTTCTTCCCTTCATTTGGAAGAAAGAGAGATCGATGGCTGCCTGGGAGGCTGCCGATTGGAAGGTCCTGCAATCTTGGGATCGGCAACTGTGTGTGCCTGCTGCCGAGCAAAACGGTTGGGGGAAGGCGCAAGACAGAAGGGGAGAACAAGCCGGAGACGGGCAGCTCCAGGCTGATTGGAGATGGAGGACAGGAGGGGTAGTGTAGAGACGTTGGGTAGGTAACTGCCGCGCGCCTTCCTCAAGATCGTCACTCAGCCTCGATTAGGTCAGTTTGATTCCATCCAGTGCAGTGGCAGGAATGCCTTGCTCTTCTCTTGCCGTCTGAGTGCAGAACAACTTCGAACCTTCCTTATTCAGAGATGCATAGGTCGTCAGCATCGACTCATCAATCACTGCAATGCACTCAGTTGAACTGATAGGCACACCGCCTCCAAGCCAATACAAAGGTTATGCTTCAATCGGGTGCACGCGATCATTCCAATCGGACAAGTCCCTCACCTAGCACCGTTCGTTTGACGTTCGAAGTGGGGTCCTCCAAGAGTCTCTACTCCACTAGGTCCGAACCTGCCTGGTCCCTGTCGATGGAGCACCTTGTCCCCCACACCAACCCGAGCCGACCTCCAACTAAACTACACTTTGACTTTTTCACTTTTCTTCCTTCTCTCCAACCAATGAATCACTGGAAGCACTTGACCGCACTGCATCAAATTTGTGCAACTTTGCGAGTCTGCGAACGACGTCCGGTTTGCAGACCGCAAGGAGGATTCTCACAGAAGGCTGACTGCGCCAACGAACCGTTCGCAAGAGAAGGCCATATCCATGACTACCTCTACGTAGTCGACACTTGTGCTCTCTTGTCGTCCATCTGCTCGAACTGTGCTGTGCTGTGCTGTGCTGTGCTGTGCTGTGCTGTGCTGTGCCTCAGTCAAACGATGGAGAGCGCGGGATGCCGAACACCCAAGACATCTCGCAGCTTACACAGTATCAAGCCGGTAGATCTACTAGCGAAGGCGCATATCTGCCATCCTGGCCGATACAGCAATTTCGTCGAGCTCGAGCTCCTTCCAAGAAAGGGCCTCTTTTCTTTTCTGTTTTGACAGTCCAATTTGCCCGACATGTCTCCAGCGTCGCGCTCGCTTATGCTCCTCGGACGAACTGATGGGGCTTCTTTATTTCTCAGACAACCCGCAAGACGAAAAGAGAAGCTTGCTGGTGAAATGTCCACCTCGTCATGACACAGGCGAATCGAAATATTAGGACGCCAAGGAGGCTCGATCCCCCAGTAGCGCCCAATGCAGACACAGAAACTACTGTACACTACAGAGAAGCTTGTCACCTGTCTTTCTGTCTCACCGGCCCTGTCACTTGACCCCGGTCACCGACCGTCCTACGGATAGCAGCCGACATGCGTAACCAAGATTTGCACTCTGAGGTTGAAGTGACAGCTCGACTTGGGCCGTCTCTCTTTGAACAGGCACTTCGGACCCAGATCGAGACTGGGGCCTGAATCTGGACTGGATCAGACCTCAGTGCCGGCTAATTCCCCCATTTTCCGTTTTGCCCAAAAACAGAACCGTTGAACCGAACCTGGTTACAAATCCCAGTGTTTTTGTTACATCTAGTCTCAGCGGTTGACAAGGACGAGATGAAAAGGCTCATCTTTGTCTTGACGAGTCACCACTTCCCTCCGTCACCTAACCCATGAGGACGACAGACCAAAAACATGGTCAAGCTGAGTCTACTACATACTAAAAGGCGATGACCTCAACTCGAATCACACCACCACGTACAACTGCCGCCTTCTACTTCTCAGACAGGCCAAACGCCATGTCTCGGGATCCAGACCTCTCCTGACGATATCGGAATGCGAGCGGGCGAAGTGCACGACCGTAATTCGAACCGGTTCGACGAATTGGGCGATTGGCCTTATGAGCCAACAGTTTGTCAGTCTGTAGGCTTGCATACCTACCGTCCTACCGATGGAGCGATGTTGAAGAAAATGCTTGGCAACGAACAGCTGAAACAAGCTTCTGGTCAAGGCCGGCTCGGCCCTACCGAATCAAAATCGACCTTCTTGGCCGGCCAGTTCGTGATATACTCTGAGGCCTATACTATATAGCGCTCGTGGAGGCCGCTACGCCACAATCCCCCCTGTACTTGCATTCGGGTCTCAACGTCGCCGGCGAAGCTCTCTCGCTTTGACCTCCTGGAAGGTGCTTCAGAATCTTCGAAAACGCCAATCATTTCGCCGACCTTGCCCTTCACATGCGCTGACACGGGACTCGCCAGTTCCCATGAAGTGAACTGTGAGAACGATTGTCGAAACTATTGACTAGCAATTACACTCCAGCAATGCACGCGCAACCCGTCTCTGGATGAACCGCCATCCATAGTAGATGTGAGGTCCTTTGCAGAATTACCCTTTGTAGAGGTACCTACCCTTGGCTGGTATTTCTCAGTGCCGCCCCTGCATTATCTGTGGTGGTAACCTGCCATCATCGTCGACGCCACCATGTGCGTGTACCTGAATATCGCTTGTCGGGTGTACCACCACCCACCGATGAACTTGCACAAGATTTTACATTTCGAACGAGCCTCACTAGAAACCGTTCTCCCTCTGCCTTAGATACAAAGGATCTGGTCGTTTGTGCGGCGGAAGTCGGGACTCGGGACTCCGGGAGCGGTGCGGAAACCAAGTACCAAGCTTCATGCCGGAATTTTTCAAACGCCCCGGGTGTCATTTCCCGTCCAGGCAAAGACCGTTTCCGAGCACAGAAATTTGCAGTGTCGGAAATCCTCACCTCGTGTTGAGCCATGATGGGAACATGTCCTTTAATGCATGCAAAGATGGCATGGCGATGGCACCGCACGGACGCCAACAAAGTCCTAGATAGGCCAGGGCAGCAATGCTTTGTATCCTGTACACTGACAGAGCAGATGAAGCCTCTTCTTCCAGCTTGAAAGTTGAACAACTGAATCAGCTCCTCGGACGACTTGGTGCCGCTCCAACATTCAGGAGATTGAGACTCCGTGACTAAGGAACCTTTTTGGTGAAGAGGTCATCATCTTTGTTCACCTTTGCATATTCAGCGTTCACTTGGTAGGTATCCGTTTACGTACAAACTCCTTAAGTGAACCTGTTAAGGTGGGTGACCAACAGCTGCTGGTACGGGATAGTTACATTTACATTTATCCAGAATTATCTAGCCGTGGCATTCGTAGTAGTACTGTTAACCCTGTAATTAGCGATCAGAGGTATAACGATATTCTGGCTATAACGTTCAGATTCTTGGTAACGGTGCGTATTTGTATGGCAATAACGATCAACCTTTGATTTACGATTTAGATTAGATTTTTGGTTACATAATACACCAAAATCGTTATTTTTCTACTGTCAGATACCCCTGCGGTACCCCTCTGACAGCCCTTGCTAGCTCCTAATGCCTGGTAGTCAGAGTGTCTACCTCTTCTGGGCACCAAATACCCCAACCTTACATTAGCGATATCCTGGCCATAACGATCAATCCACCAGAAACCGACTTGATCGTTAATTACAGGGTTAACAGTACCGGGTACACGCCTCGCACCCTTTTCGCAACTGAATCACTTCACTTGTCCGAATCGGGAATGAGCACCGGTACATGCGAAACGACTGGCAGAAGAAGACAGAAAGCATCATCAAGCATCGTTCCTGAACAGTTGTTGCTCCTCAAGCATACCGTTCCCTCCAAAGTGGGGAGCTTTCTTTTCCCATCCATCCCACCACTGACGACCCATGTCGTCCATGCATGGCTTCCTACCACCCACCATAGCTACATTGCCGTAGTTTCTTTGCCAGACGTGAAAAAGCATGTCCAGGGGCAGGACCTCTTCTTCATTCGACCCCGTACGTAGGTAGCCTCTGAAGCCTTGGAAAGGTACGGACTGGAACCAGGTCCTTCTCTATGCTTCCCTCTGCGGGCTTGTCTTTTTTGTCAGCAGCCCATGGCCTATCACGACTTCTCATTCCAAAGGGGGGAACTAAAACAAGGCAAATTCTGCATATGGATTATAGGGTGAGTGGTTAAGTCTGCGAACGGATCCTCTCAATCTCTCCTGTTTCCCCAGGAAACGAAGGAACCGGAGATTCAGGAAGACAAATACAAACGGGGCCTAAGCGATTCCTGTCATATCACCAGTTGCAGTACCACGCAGCTATTATTATACGAGGCCGCTACATGTATAGTATCAGGATCTTATTATCGAGGATTGAACTGACTGACGAAACAGAGGGGAGAGAAACGTTGACAGACCCCGGTCCATGGTATCCCGGCCGACCCCGGCCTGCCTTGTGCTTGGCACAGCCGCCCCGTCATGTCTGTAGGGATGCGTGAGCGGATGTGGTCAATGGCCAGGTGGACTGGACTGGAGAAGAGGGCTCTCTACTGCACATACCCTCCTGGCCCTCCTCTTCATTCAAGGACTAGACCGATGTAAGGCACTGGCTCTGACAGGCTTGGAAACACCCCGGTACCTAGTCATCCGTTATTCAGACGACATCCTCGTTGTCAATCATATATGGGTATCCGCTCACTTTGCTACGCTGCCTACATAATACCATAGCTCCCCATCTTCTTGTCTACAGATGGCCACCGAAGGATCCTTTTGTTTAGTATCTACTCTTACTGTTCTCATCAAGTTGTTATTTCCCCTCCTTCATATTCAACCCGTACCTGCCAGGACTCAAGTGACAGATCAATTTGAGTCCCCCCTCACCGATATCGCCCGCCACTCAAGTTGAAGAGATCTTTGGATGCGGCAGCTTCTCTCAGTGACGACAGGAAATCTCAATCCCGGCCAAGTTCAGTCGCGGCTTCCGTGACCACGAAGTCGTCTTGGTCAGATCAGAATATTGTTGGGAAGGTGCGATCTGTTGACAGGAGGTGGATTCTTTCGACCAGGTTTTCTCCTCGCCCCACCTCATCACCTCTACCAAAAGGTACATCGGCGACCTTCTTGTGATGGCAACAGCATCGCCGCCGTCTATGGACGGCATGTCGCCCGTCCACGAACTCAAGATCCGTCAACAGCCCAAGAATGCGCGCGTAGCTATTGGCAAAGAAAAAGGTGAGACCAGACAGAGCAAACCTCGCCGTCTACACTGGAGAGGACGAGATGCATCATGGCAAAACCAGACTAACAAGACACCAAAATCAAAGCAGACAGAAAGCCCATCGACCCCCCTCCCATCGTCCAGCTCGATATTCACCCTATGCGCCATCAAATACACAACCCTTATCTGATCCTCGTCTGCAAGCTTGTCGCTCCAGAAAGTACCGAGAACGACGATGCCAACCACCAGCAGCCCGAGCCCAAGGACAACGACCTAATCGGCTCCCTTTGCTCGTCTCCCTACGTCCTCAAGGACACCAACAATGCCCAAGGCCTGTTTTTCATTTTCCAGGATGTCTCTGTACGCCGTGAAGGCACCTATCGCCTCGAGTTCAACCTCTTTGAGCTCAAGCCTCTAACCAGGGAGTGCATCGCCTTAGCCAGGACCACCTCCGACAAGTTCGTTGTGTTTCCTCATCGGTACTTCCCCGGAATGGCCGAAAGCACCTTCTTGACAAGGTCCTTCAGTGATCAGGGCGTGCGCATCCGACTACGCAAGGACAGCCGAAGTGTCAGCACGCGCAAGAGGGGTGCTAACGCACTAGGAGTCGGGGCAGGCAGCGGTGATGTCGTAGGACGTCTGCGGACCGGCTCGACGATAGGTCTAGGCGGACAACAATACTCGCCCATCACCATCTCCCACCACTCCCAGTCCCACGGTAGCGGCGGAAGTCACGATGAGCTCTCCTCAACGAGCACCAGCCCCATCAACCGCATCAACACCACCCTAGCCAGCCACCACCCCCACGACCTCATCCCCGGCATTGGCCACTTGGACCGCAGCCAACACCACCGCGGCTCTTTAGCCTCACAAACGTCTTCAAGCCTCCTCGACTCCCCCTCCAACACCACCATGCTCAACTCCCCCACTGTCACAGGCGTAGGCGGTTTTGGCACCTCCACAGCCACCACCCTCGGCGGCGGCGGTAACTACTCTTTCGCCGGCGTCGCCGCCGCGCATCAGTACTCCTACCCCGGCACAGCCCTCAGTCTAACCACCGGCACCACCGCCGATGATCGTTACTACGATTACAACAGGGCTGGCAAGAGGCCTAGGTTGTTGCATGGTACCGGAGTGGATGATCTGCTGGATCATTCATATGGGAGAGATCCTTACGGACGGGACCCCTACGATCACCATCACCGCGTGGTCGGCGGCAGCGTGACGCTCCCGCCCCATACGCAGGCGTATGCAACGATGGATGCTACGCACGGGTATGGCCATGGACGACATCATGATTATTATGGGGTGACGGCTGCGGGGCCTTACTTTGGGTCGGCAATGTGAACAACTCCAGAGCAATGCTTTTGGTTCATGATCGCGCATGGTTGTGGTTGCCCTGTAATCGATCTAGTTGGTGAGTAGTTTAACAATCAACCACCCTTCAGTTCTGATGAAGTCGAAACTAACTCGTTGGTGAGGCAGATGATCTTCCCTTCTTGATCTACGTCGTTTCGCCCCATGTTCCCTTTTATTTTCCCGAACAAGGACATGAACACTATACCGCTGGCGCACAGGATGTTGCCGAGAAAAAAGATTTAGTAATTGCTTTGCTTTGCTCTTCCTCTTGCTCTTCTCTTTCACTTCACATTGCTTTTCTTTCCTCTCTACCCTTTTTTATGCTTCATCTTTATTTCACCCTTTCGCCTTTCGTCCTTTTTCATGTTGCCTCCTTTACGTTACGTCTTTGCTCGTTGGTTGGTTTAGGAAAATAGAAAAACGGCGTCAATGGTGGTTGTCACCCTATGGCGGCTGGCGGCGGTACCCTCTGTTGTTCATCTGGAACGGTCTGGTTGTTTTCGGTGATCGCTGATAACTGGTGGTGGGAACGATACCCCATTTCCTTGAAACTCACTCTCTCTCGTCTTGTTTTCCTCTATCATGGTTATCAAGTGGAACTCATCTGAAAAGCAAAAAAAGAACGCGAATGTGCAAACAAACTGATTTTGGAAAAAGTTACTTGGGAGAGCTTGGTGGGAGGATATCTGATTTTTGTTTAGTTGATCTTGTTCTGTTCTGGAAAGTAGTAGTGTACAGTCGGACATACATCGCACGAGACGGTAACGGAAACAGAATGAATGGAAGACGCGCATCTTGCAGACAGTGGGAGAAAACACATGTTTGACGACAATTGTAAATATATCCAATGCAACGACCATTTGAGCAAGACTTGATAAGGCGATCGGACGAACAGAATAGCAACGGGTCGTGGAATTAGTGGTGCATGGCGTAGTGGCGTGGAGTGACAGCCCACCTGCTACACCTGTCGCGCCAGCTCGGTGCATCTGTCCTCTGCCCGAGACGCGACCCGTTCGTGACCGACTGGGGCAAGTTTTTTTTTTTTGTGTTTTTTGCCGTGTTGTTGTGGAAGGCACGGGGCCATTCAGGTCGTCACAGGTTGCGATGCTTGGCATGATGTTTTCGTCCCCTTTCAACAACGACTCCAACATCCATCCCTCTTTTCCCCTTCACGTTCAATTCTCATCCAGTTCCAGTCCCAGTCCCATTTCACTCCCCATCCCAACCCACCTCCTTTTTTTGGTAGGTATTCATTGTTTTGATCATCAACCCCACCTAGCATTCAACCTCTCCCAAACCGTCCCATCCACAGGCAGTACACTCCCATGCCTCAACCCCGTCGGCCACCCCGTCCTCGAACTCGCCGTCCACCCACCACTATTCCTTTCCGGAGTCGTACTCTCATACGGTCGATACCCATCACTCCCATAAAAGTCTAATAGCAAATGGACTTTGCCGGGAATGGTATTATCCCAATACGCCGCGGGACCTTCTACTCCCGATTCGATAATGGCTGAGGCACCACCGACGCGGGTCCAACTACCAAAAAGACCGGTGGTGGATGTTTCGACGAAGACGGTCTTGAGGGATTCGTCTTTCATGAAGCGGAGGTAGGAGGAGGAGGAAGAGTTGTTGAGAGGAAGAATGGTTAGGTCGATGATGTTGGTTGGGGATCGGTCGATGTACGTCTGGGGAGTGGAAAAGGTGCGGAAGTCGGAGGTGTAGGCGTAGCGGATCTTGGTGGAGGAGGGGGTGCCGGTGTGGGAGGGGTCGGAGGAGGAGTACTGTCTTTTGGTTAGGACCGGGATCGGGGGGTGAGGACGTGGGAGGGGAATAATAGAAAAGGAAGGGGGGGGGGGGGGGAGGGGGGAAGGAAAGAAAAAGAAACAAAAATT